CTGTATAGATCTAGTGATTGTTGTCTTGTATTTGTTAGTTCTCTGGAAGCCTGGACTGACTCCTCCTGTCACCAGCCATGTACGAGGAATCACCGGCCTCACTAAATCTACATCAGGAGTCTTCTTGTCTCCAGCTAATACCCAGCAATCTGCACAGAACTCCTCTATACTCAGCAGGTGAGCTGACTTTCCTGCCGCTTTGTCCAGAGTCTGTTGTATGTATTTAGATATTTATTACATATTTAATCTATGACGAGGAAATACTGATTGATCACGGAGTTGTTCTAATGTTCACATTAAAGGTTTTACAAATATGGCTACTGAATACAGACCTGCAATTCCTATTGTTACACACTACAAATGTACTCTGAATCTACCAGCTCAGTGCACTGATTACTGGCCCTTTAAATACTGCAATAAAGTGACACTAAACTCAGGAGTTAAAGTTTCAAAATTCATTCAAGTACCTGAACTATTAACACGAATGTATCTTATTTGTGTATCACTCGGCTGTAGATCCTCAAATCATCTCTGAATTGGTGCTGACACTGTGCTTCCTTCTGGAGGGGGGCTACTTGTGTTCCCCATGATCCCCGTGTGTGTTGTAAAGTAGTCACCGCTCCAAGCCCACTGCTGTGATTAGAATACAATCTCAATACAAATTAGTAAACTAAACATGAGATTGTAGTCCATCATTGGAGCGAGCTTGGAGCGGTGACTACTATACAACACACACAGGGACCATGGGGAACAGAAGTAGCCCCCCTCCAGAAGGAAGGACAGTGTCAGCACCAATTCAGAGATGATTTGAGGATCTACAGCCGAGTGATACACAAATAAGATACATTTTTTGTTAATAGTTAAGGTACTTGAATGTATTTTTAAGATTTAACTCCCGAGTTCAGTGTCCCTTTTAAATGCCTAATTAAGCTACATAATACACCATTGGCCACTATGAAGCAGTAATGTGATGTGTAAAATGCTGTGATTGTGAAACAGTTACACTTGCAGAGCATTCACTTCCTGCTTTGAAAGGGCAATATGACTTCAGTTTGCCAAAGCAATGCATGCTGGGATTGCCTTGTCATCAGCAGAGGATTGCCGGGAAATCTCATGAGATCTCAGGGAAAAGCATTATCCTCCCCTGAGATGATGTGCATGGTCACATGTCCTAGTCACGTCTAGTCACATGTGCCAGAAATCCAGGAAGTAAAAGGAGAGCTAGTAATCTGCTCTTAGCAAACATTGCCACTGTCAGAAGACTGGGAAAGAGAAGAGAAATAAAGTATGCAAAGAATACAAAGCCGGCAATTCTCTAGAAGTGTGTGTTAGTAGATTGCCATTACTAAACATTTCGGAAGGTGTGCTTGTTGTCATTTTAAAGATCTGGGTAAAGGTTCGCTTTAAGAAGTCAAGAAACCATAACCCAAGTAAAAGCAATTTCATCTGCAAGAAGCATTTTGTAAATGTTTTCAGCTTTATGCTAAATCGTAATGCTGATTTTGGGTTTACATACACGTTAACTCTTTCATTATTGGTTCTCCTGTATGTTATAAAAGCATGGATGGTGTGATGACATGGTCATCAGTCATCTGACTCCGGCTATGACTGTCCGGAGGTCTATAGCAGCGGGATTGTGCAGTCAGAATGTCTGGGGAGGGCAGGGTGGATGTGATGGGATTATAATCTGATCACTTTGTGTATAAAAGGTTGCACAGTTGCTCAATAAATCAGTTTTTTTCACCCTACGCATAGTTCTGGCAAGTGACTGGGTGGACTGGGAGCTAAAGATCACTTGGTTGCAGCGGGATCCCCTCAGCAAGGAAGAATAGTACAGCGAGGGGCATACTTATCCTGAGTACTGGAGTCTGTCACAGATGGGTTGCAGTAGCAATTTTTCCCATGTTCATGGAAACAAAATATAAAAAGTTGGGAAACTCTTGAGATTTCAGTTAATAACCAAACTAATAAATTATTACCCAGCATTCTGATGCAGGCTGTTTTATTGTTCTAGGGTGTCACCATTACTTCCCAGCATTCTCCAGCAGTCCTCAAGACCAGTCACATATATCAGTCTCCGCAAGGGGAAGAGGAAGTCTGTGAAATCTGTACCGGAGCGATTTATGCGTCTGCACTGTGGGCTCTGGATTCGTAGGAAGGTGAGATGAATGATGGGGTTGTGATTAGCTGCTCCAAATGCTTTTATTCCGATGGTTATATTGGGGATGAACTGGTTCAATAGAAGTGTACATTTTCTATACGTTTAGAAATCGTTGGCTTATCCTTCAGCATTGCTTACATCCTATGGACTGGGACATTTTTTTTTTTTTTTAAACTCCCAAGTCCAAGGACTAAAGCGGGGGCCCAATCTTCTCATCCCTTATAACATTAAAGTGACCGTGCTGACCAATGAGTGCTCGCAATTTGCAAGCAAAATTCAAAATTCCATAGCAGATGTCTGCGCTGGATAGCAGTACAGGATATGGATAGTACACCCATAGCGGCGGAGGGTAAGGACTGTTCACTGAAAGGTAAGTATAGTGGGGGTGGAGAGGGGGGGGGTCAGATTTAAGTGGGCAGGGATGAAGAGTGGGTCAGTTTAAAGCGGGCAATTGGGTTTTCCCAAATTACTTAAAGGAGAACTATGGGGTTAGGGCTTTTCCCCATAGTTCTCCTAAGGGTTAGGCTACAGCACGCGGTATACTGAGACGCCGCATCCGGAACGGATCCTGACAATGCTGTCTGGATCCACCTAGCTGCGTGAGTGACAGCTGTCTCTGCCTATCTAGAGGCAGAGCCAGCTGTACCCTCCCCTGTCCGTTCCGCCAGTCAGTGCTGCTGGAGGATTGGACAGGGGAGGATGGAATCCAGTCCCTCCCCCTGTCACCGCTCTCTGCCGTGACAGGATCGAGAAGTGAGCGAGTGCCACTATGTGTTCGCTCACTTCCCGATCTACTGAGCCGACCTGTGATAGTTTCATTGTCACAGGTCAGCTCAGATTATGAGGCTGAGTGAAAATCACTCTTCTCATAGTTCTCCTTTAGAAAAGTGAACTTACCCTTTTGTTACAGAGCACTGCTGCCCGGCTACCACAATATGGCAAACAGTGGAATGGGGGCA